ATCTTGACTGGCATTTTTATTGAACCCTCCTCAATCGGCAGTTTTCAATAGATATAGAAAAAATAAATGTTATTATCCTTTCCTTATTGGCCAGATAAGACCCGTTCGGAATACTATTCTCAGCCAGCACACGATTTTCGGCGCTGTGTAAACAAGTCACGTACGAAACGGAATGTAGAATGCTCCAAAGTCTTTTTGTTCGGACACAAAAAGGACAAAGATGCAACCACTCCATGTCCATAGAACAAAGATGGAATATCTCAGGTAAGTTCGAATTTCCTGAATTGTCGTTTGTTCGGATTTCCAAGCAGTGAAGTTAAGAGATAACTAGAGGTTTAGTGGATATAGATTTTCAATTTCCGTGTGTATAAAGACATTAGTGGAATTTTACTCGATTTCGCCTTTAGATATTCATGAGGATGAAATTGAGATTGCATTTTCATTTCATTTAACATGCTACATAAATTATATATGGGATCAGAGTTGGCGATTGCCCAAATACTAATGGTACCAAAGTATGCCATAATGGATTTCTTTATAGAATAAAAAGAAAACCACTTTTCTCATAATTGCATGCATGTCTCGATTCTCGATGTCTTTACTCATTATAAACCCTATGCCCAAACCTTTTTAGTAGAGTTGGTTTCCTGAACTGGTAATTGTTGCAATTGTGGCAAGTTCAAGAATATAATACATAATATGAAAATGTTAGGTCATACAATAAAAGCTAACTTCGCTCAGGTCACGTTTACTCTCCAACATCAGTCATATCCGTCAGGGATCAATAACGGCACTGCAATTTCTAGATAGAAAATTCACGTGGAAAAAAACACATTTTCTCTAAAAACTAGTATCTAACGTGCATTATCCTTTCATTAGTAAAACAGGTGATTAGAGAATTTGGAGCAAAGCGTTTTAATTTAATGCACCCTAATAATGCATTGCTCAAATTCAAACTTCCAGAACAGCCAAATTACAGGAATTCGATTCTGCAAGATTTGATATAACTCTTGGCTATGCAAAAGTCTGCATTTCATAATAACGATAAAAAATAGTTCGAGAAAGTTGGACGTGCATTTATGATATCTTGTCGACATCGAGGCAGATTTGGAAGAGGATGAGTAGTGGAAAAAGCAAGCGCTGGATGGAGAAGTTTGGAAGAGCGACCTCAAGCAGACCGAGGCCCACCAAGACCCAAAATATCGATAATCATTCTCACTATTCTCTATAAAAATAACAAGTTTCCAATATATGTATAGCCAACAACCGAACGATATATGTTAGTGTGGAACGTACATCAATTTACTAGAGTGCATCATCTGGTATGAACTTCACTTAAACCTTGCCTCTATTGAGATTTATCCAGAACCTAAACGCAAGCCTTCCTGTCTGCCTAATCTTTTAAATTAATTTTAAATAGAAACTCTGATATCAGCTTAAAACCTATCAATATTTAACGTAACCCAGTCTTCAACGTCTCCCTAATACCGCAACGACTCTAACGGAATTTTAACTCGCTGAAATAGGGATAGAAGCGCGGTAAATTCTCATCTGAATTCCTAATTTGTTCGCTCCTCTTTCAGTTCACCGCCGAAAAGTAGGTACACTACATACGATGAAATAAGTTTCAGCAAAATTGAATTTATGCGAAAGTTAATTTCGAATAAAGTTACTGTTTCGAGTTATTTCAATATCAAAATGAATTGTTTATCTAATAATAGTAACAGAATAGTATATTGTGTATTTAGGTGGAAAAGTGACACATTCTCGGCCGACGGTGTAAGTTGACGGGCGAGGCGTAGCCGAGGCCGGCAAACACCGAGGGCCGAGAATGTGCTTTTCCACCGAAATACACATACTATTTTTTCTGCGATCGGTTAAATATCTGTTGAATGCTTGTCTTTTTGTTCCAATTGTTCCAGCAGTACGAGAATCACTTTCCCGGCCTAGGCCGGAAAAGTGTTTCCCGTATTGTTATTCATTGATTCCTTAGCAACTATTGAAACATAATTGAACTACCAGAATATTGAGTTTTGCGACCTGCCAACCGGTCAAAAATGTTGACATTTCTTGTCAATCGCAGAAAAAAGTATTTTGTTTGACAGACTTATAGGTATCTAATTAATTTTATCTATATCTAAGCGTTTGGTTATGACGTTTTCACATAACCATTTTTCTAGTATATGAGTTATATCATGAGACTCATAACACAACTAGTGGTGTTATGGACTAGGTTATGAATTAATAACACAACTAGTGGTGTTGGACTAGGTTATGAATCTATAGCACAACTAGTTTTTATGATTTGACAAATGTCATAGTTAAATCTGTAAAGGTAAAATGAAGGTAGACAATTACTAATAAACGATAACGGAAAAAAATATATTCTTATTTTTCGCTTTGTAGTTAAAACATTGTAGGTATATCACACGTGCGTTTAAACATGACTACAAAACTTGTGTGATTAGAACGACTCGGTGTACGACCTCGTCGCTGATGTAATCTTTCACACTCGTTATTAGAATCATGTTCATAAACGCACTTGTAATGTAATAGTTATTTACATTACAAGTGCGTTTATGAGCATGATTACAATAACGAGTGTGAAGGATCTAATCACACGAGTTTTGTAGTCATGTTTAAACGCACGTGTGATGTACAACGTTTTATCTACAAAGCGAAAAATAAGAATATTTTTCCAATTATTTTCGTTCATTAATAGTTGTCTACCTTCACTTTACCTTTACAGGTTTACCTTTGACATTTGTCAAATAACCAAAAATAGTTATGTTATAGACTCATAACCTCGTCCATAACACCACTAGTTATGTTATGAGTCTCATGACGTAACTCATATACCTACTAGAAAAATGGTTATGTGAAAACGTCATAACCAAACGCTTGTAGATAAATAACTATTATAAAACTAATTACTACCCAAGGAAGCTAACAAAGTTCATAGAAGTACATAACCGCTTCCAGCTATTATGTTATTTTTACAGTCAAAAATATCTTGTCGATATGGCTTCAATCATTTATCGACCTGGATGGTCCGAAGGAGTTGAGATTTGGAATAAGGAATAAAACAGCTTCTCTGCACAAAAGTCGACATGAAAGTACAGTGTGAAATCTTGAATCATGACGCGACTCTTCCTGTATCACACTCAAAACAATCCCTGTGATATTGACAAAAAAAATGCGTTCCCATGGAAAATACCGTAAACGTCATCACCGAGTTGGAACTCCGGGACTGCACAGTGCACACTAGTGCACAGGGTTTCGGCAATAACATAATTATATACAGATTGGTTAAGGTTTGGAATAGAATTTACTTTCCGCGGGGGCGATATAATTGCGTGCATCCATAACACGCTAGCGAAAATTATATTTGTTTTATGAATCCACTGTGTCCCTTTTGTTTACTGTATCAGCAAATGTAATCCAAACTAATGGGTGATTAAAAATAACATTGATTGCTTGATCGTGCCCCTCTTGTTAGGAAATATAATCCATAAGCTGCTTATAAATAACATTGACTCGTGCTTGTGCCTGGCTTCATGTATAGACATTTCAATATAATTATTAATAGCTTTCTGTGAAAATGTCAACTTTAGAGTTGTTTGGATAAAAATCCCAGCGTTCCAGAGAAAACCGGTAACTTAACCAGCAAAGGGGACCAGAGGACCACAGCCACAAGTAAAGGTAAAAGGGCTCATTAAACTCGTGTTAAACCTCTGTGACTAGTTTCAGGATCGGTAAATTATGGTAATAAAGGCATAACTGATGATGAGACAAAGGTGACTTAAAGATGAAGTAATGGCCTGTCAACGAATTTCTTTGAAAATGGGGCAATTTGGTTAAAACTTCCTTATTACAAAACAAAGTTTAGTTTAGGTTATATACCTACGAGAGGTGTGCGGAGTCCTTTAATATTTAGCCTATTAACGTCCCTTGAGGAAATATAACGAATGTTTTCGAAGGAAAAATCCTCAAGAAATCAGTTGCAGAATAAAAAAGTAGTTACAGCGGCGGCCAAAAATTAAAAATCATCCCTACCATTCATTTTCCAAGTGGTGCGCTCTGCGCCAATGTATTACGTAGAGAGCTTTTGCATGAGAAATTGAACTATTTGAATAACAGACCTGATATCACTTCGGAAAGCTGTAGCGCGAAAAATATGGATTTTGGAGGAAATTGTTTTGAATAAAAATGATACGATCTTTCAAATTTATGAAAAAGCGCTCTACGTAAATTGAGTAAGATGACAAAGTTAGAAAATCCATCAGTGAAGCCGAGCTGGTAGGGATTTAGCTTTATCATTTATCACTTTCATACAAATTTGAGGAATTAGGTACTAGTAGACCCTTCATTTCCAACGAGCGGCTCGTTTTCCTCAAGTTTATTTGATTGCATTAACCTTGAACCTATGGACACTTAATCAACTCTAAAATTAAATTAGTATAGAGTTTGAGTAATTATACTCATATGAAACTGCCCAATTCATATTCAAAAATGTCTGCAGTTGAAATAACTAAGTCTCTGCTACTGCCACTTTCATCATTGCCAAAAAGCCGACACGCGGGTTTATGTACGTTGATAAAGCGAGTCGCTTAATTTTCCAGGTCCGGATAGAAGGAAAAATAAAATATGTCCCGTCCAGAGAGCATATTTTTAATGGATTAGAACCATTCCCTGTGTTATATTGCTTTACGAGATATTTTTGGACGAAGCAATTCCAAAAATCCCGGCTCTAAATATATCGTTTTCAAGGGTATAAGAAAAAGAAAAAGGCCTTACGATTGGCAACTTATTCGAGCGCAAGACATTTTCACACTCGCCGAACTTTGAGCAAATAAAAGTCAAAAGTTAAGCTCGGCACGTCATTTCGTAATTCGTAAAAGAACTTCGGGACGGAGTAAATTGGGAGTTCTATTTTTCGACGGAAATATAGGGCTGTGTCTTGCAGCTATAAAATAACGTTCGTATTTTTTTGTTTGCAGAGGAATGCCGTTACGCCAAAGGAGGTTGGTCCGAGTGCGACGCAAAGACAAACCAGAGATCACGGACGCTCACTTTGAAGAAGGGCAACCAAACGAGTTGCGAACCGACCAAGACCATGCAGAAGAAGTGCAAAAAAGGTAAGGAATCCTGAAACGACATGGGAAAATAACTGAGATGATATCCTATATACGATCATGGGTCAACAATCTGATAATAATTGAATCGTTATGTGGATACCTATAGTTGGGTTTTGTCTAAAAACATAGATTCACGAAGAGACCTTATTTATATATTAAAAATGTTCTCAACTATATATTCTTGCAGGCCAATACCAGTTCTACTTCTTAAAATATTCAAACGCGTGAACAAACAACTTCAATTATAAATTGTATAAAACAGGATTTTTACAAATCTCAAACATCTTTCCGCTCTTGCCTAAAAGTCGTTACAATTTTCTCAGACTTTCTGACGTCCAGAAAAACATCCATCCGGCTTTTCCTATAAAAGATAATCCACATTGAAAGGCGATTATTCTAGAAAATTTTTATCGGCTTTTCTCCCTCCCTAAAGCGGAGGCCAAAATATTAGCAGGCTAGCAGGGAACCTATATTTACGCAAAAGAAGCGAAACCTAGGTATACATCATGATTAAATAATATGTAAGTACCTACATATATTATAGACTAGACACTAAATGCTGTGCAAATTTCCCTTTCTCCAAATAAGATATAAACGCTAAATAGACGATGTATTTTCCTCTTACATGCGCAAATCCAGGGATCTTTAACCTTAAATCGATGACGAGGCAATCCATCATTATTTTGATTTGCCTTTGAATATATAGAAGATAATTTTACATAACAGATTGTGGTGTTTCAATGACGTAGTTAATGTGTTGAACAGAGTTTTTCGGAACTAGAAAACCAAGTATAGGGATTTCATAAAGCAACCTTAAAATTTGTCACAATTGTATTTTTTATCTGTAAAACAGTGCAAAAGTTCTTTTGCTATGCCAGTGCTATATATTGCAGATCACCGTTAAATAAAATGTAAAAAGCGTACAAAATCCATAAACAACATCAACTAAGTTTGTCGAGTCCTTTTTTTTTTTAGGGGGAGTCGTTTGGTCGTTTCCGAAACAGCAAAAGTTTGTAAATTAAGTTTTATCATTTGACTGAAATTTATGCAGGAAAGCCTGGCAGCACCGTTTGTTTTTATGCATAAAGTTTTTTACCAACATTTTGAGGGGAGATAAATATAGTGTTTTGTGATTTAAGTAAGCGTAAAATTAAACTTAAGTATACAGTTTCCGGTTTACAGCTTCAAGCTTTCAAATTGTCTCACTTGATGCTAACCTTTTTCTAATACTGAATCATTGGCGTCCAAAATTTTAATGTGCCAGAAGCACGATCGACCTGAACTGACCTACCATTGAAAAATTGAACAAACCATTCAATTTTTTCAAATATCTGGGTGCCTCTATCAATTTCTTCTCTTCCTTGGGTATTAAGAGGTGTCCCTTCTGGTTTAAAAGACGGTGGGAGTCAAGGAACTAAGGACAATCAGGTTTCTTAGCTACCGTAGTGGAAGTGGTTATATGTAAATTATTAGAAACGCTACCTCCAGAATATTTTCCATTCAAATCCAGTTGGATTCTCATGTCAAGCAAAGATAGAATGGTGGATAACTTGACGAATAAGTTAGTCGCATATTATGAGAAAGCTTTCCAAACGAAGAATGGAGGAGAAAGTAGTGTAGTTAAGAAAAGTGCGAAAACAAGTAAAATTTGGGCACGCAACACCCAATCTTTTCGCACAAGTTTGAGCCAATCAAGACGTACTGTTGTTGTTTATCCATTTTAGTTTTGGGATCAGTGGTCAACACCAGGGATGTGCCGTAGACTATGAAATCTACTTTAGGCGGTTTGTCTACTCGTTGTCTACGTATTGTTTACATCCACTTTTTTCCATGTAGACTATGTAAACTATGTAGACAATGTAGACAACAGAAAATTTGAAATTTGAGTAGTTTTTTTGAAAGTTTGCATTGCATTATAGTTATTAATGATACTAGTTCGATATGAACACCATAATGAAACGCGTGTTTCATTAATAAAGTTCATATCGAACGTGTATCATTCAAAATTTAATCTATGATGGTCCAAATAGATTTGATTTGCCTTGAAATAGCAAATATTTTTCAAATTAAAATTCAAAATTTAGCAGGTGCCCGTACTAGTCGGAAACCTGCTTGTTGATTTTTAGAATTTTCACTTTGGCAGCTTCAATATTGGAGTCAATTTTGGTGCCATAAATTCAGTTTTATAGTGGAAAATAATTTTAAGAATTGGTGATTCTGAGTTCGAAAGTGTCCGTTCGAATATCGAGACAGCATCAGTGAAAAGGTTCTTCTGATAACTAGCTTTCTTTTTGTATATTTTTCATTTTATAATTTGGGTGTTTTTATGAATTCTTAAACGCACTAGTGCTATTATGAAGGACCTAATGACATTCAAATGACAATGCTAAATATGTCATAATGACACCGACGTAGATTAAATTTATATTGTATCAAATTAGACATTATCTGCAGTTTAATTAACATTACAAAGCAAAAAACAAAACAAAGCAAAAACAGAAACATAACCTTAAAGTCCTGCCAACTGTCAAAAATTGTATACTTTACGCGTTGTCTACATATTTTACACGTTGTCTACATAGATTACATAGTTTACATTGTCTACGCGTTGTTTACATCAGACGTAGACAATTTTTGTTTACGCGTAGATGCCCATCTCTAGTCAACACTGACTTCTGAAAATGACAAAGCATGAGATCTCGAATTCAGCAATCTCAAAACACTCATTACTGAAGATTCTGAGAGAAGATTTTAGATACCTACTCCAAAGACTGGGAGAACTATGGAAGATTGAATCAGAAAATTTTAAGGCGACTTCTTAGCGATTTTTAGCATTGAGGAGTCGATGAGATTCTGAGGAACATTGAATTGATTCCAAGCTCAAGAGTCGCCGCTGATTTCTCAAAATCACAAAGCATGATATTTAGAATTCAGCAATCTTCAAAGAGTCAATATTGAAGACTCTCCAAAGATTGGAGAACTATGAAAAATTGAATCCGAAAATTTTGAAGCTGATTCTTAGCGTTTCTCAGCAATATAGAGTTAAGATTCCGAAAAACATTGAAATTATCCGTTCTTAGCTCAAGAGTCAACAATGACTTCTCAAAACCACAAATCATGAGATTTCGATTTCAGCAATCTCAGAAGACTCAATTATGAGAACTCTCAGAGAAGATTTCAAATACTCCAAAAACTAGAAAACTATGGAAAATTGAATCAAAAAATTTTGGAGCGACTTTTAAGCAACTCAAGAGTAAAGATTCTGAGGAACATTGAATTGATCCATTCTCAGCCCAAGAGTTAACACTGACTTCCCAGAACCACAGAGCATGAAGCGTCTTCTTAGCATTGAAGAGTCAAGATTCTGAGGAACATTGAATTGATGCATTCTCAGCTCAAGAGTCAACACTGATTTCTCAAAACCACAAACCATGAGATTTAGAATTCAGCAATCTTCAAAGACTCAATACTGAAGATTTTAGATACCTTTTCCAAAGATTGGAAAACTATGAAAAATTGATTCAGGAAATTTTGAAGCGACTTCTTATCGATTCTTAGCATTGAAAAGTCAAGATTCTGAGAATAATATTGAATTGATCCATTCTCAGCTGAAGAGTCAACATTGACTTCTAAAAACCACAAACCATGAGATTTCAAATTCAGCAATCTCAAAAGACTCAATGGGCTCTTTCACTAAAATTTAAATACGAAATTTAAGTATAAAATCCCAAAGGAGGGACTATTTTAGGCATATATACCAAAAAAAAATGTTCTACAAGGTTAAATAAGTTTTTTACAGGCATTCGAAAATGGCCAAATTCAAACTAATTTTAATCGCGCCGAATCGCTGACGTCACATAAATATTTTCCATTTCGCTTATGTTGTTGCAAGGAACTGACCGGCTCGGCTGTGTGGCGCTCTGTAAAAGCACATCAAGTATACGTAGAGGTTCGAATGCGCTGTTGTCGGTTGTGACTGAATGTAGTGTAACGTAAAAAAAGTAAATAAAACTAAACATAAAAAATTGTATTAAATTGTATTTAAGCATAATTTCAAAAAAAAAAATTATAAAATCTTGAATCCATAACTAATTAATTGAACTACTTTTCATGATATTTTTCCAACATTTCAGAATTAAATCTATTACAAATTTTCAATGTTGACAATTAGTGGCAACACGGTCAAATTGTGAGCTGCGACGTCATAGAAATAAATTCTGGGTTTTTATTTGGAGGTATTTCTTATTTTTCTGTTTTCTCAAGAAGGACTATGAATTTTTCAAAAGTAAAAATACAGAAAATTCTGTTTTTAGTTGCTTTATCCAAATATGCCAATTTCAAAAATTAGTGAAAGAGCCCATTATGTAGTCTCTAAGAGAAGATTTCAAATACCTACTCCAAAGACTTGAAAACTATGGAAAATTGAATCAGAAAATTTTGAAGCGATTTCTTAGCGATTCTTAGCATTAAAAAGTCAAGATTCTGAGGAACATTGAACTGATCCATTCTCAGCTCAAGAGTCAACACTGACTTCTCAAAACCACAAAACATGAGATTTAAAATTCAGCAATTTTCAAAGACTCATCAATTATGAAGACTCTAAGAGAAGATTTCAAATACCTACTCTTAAGACTTGAAAACTAGAGAAAATTGAATCAGAAAATTTTTAAGCGACTTCTTAGCGATTCTTAACATCGAAAAGTCAAGATTGAATTGATCCATTCTCAGCTCAAGAGTCAACACTGCGACTTCTCAACACCACAAAGTATGAGATTTCGGATTCAGCAATCTCGAAAGACTCAATTGTGAAGCCTTTGAGAAAAGATCTCAAATACTCCAGAGATTGCAAAACTATACAAAATTGAATCAAAAAATTTTGAAGCGATTTCTCAGCGATTCTTAGCATACTGGTTGAAACTAGTACGCAAAAGAAGTACTTAGATCCAGAATCATTAGACGATACAGAATACAACTTTGAAAAAACACTCGTTCAACCCGAT